TTTCCTGGGTTAATCAAGCTGCCCCATTCTCAATGTCATGCAATAGAAATCCGACAACCTTCTGAGTTAGTGCTTTCGTCCCGTTTAGCATCCCTTGTCGAAATGATATGAAGTGCCGGAGATCAATCAGCAGTCATTATGTAAAGGTTGTTAAAACTAAATTGTTGGAGCCAATTTTCCATACATATACAGTAATCACGCATACAAGACTCACCTCGACTCGTTTCACGCTAAAGGTCAAAGACCCAAGCTAAGGAGATACAATTCGTGCCGAAGAAATTCTCTTATATTAAAGTATTGCTCTGTTACTCTTCACTTTCAATATAATTTAAAACAGTATGGAAGCCAATAAAATAGGCACCAGAAAAAATAATTCAATTTTAAATCCCAATGTATTATTTCAATAATTTAATTTTGAGCACTCGTGCGTACAACACAGAAATAAGCCATGAACCGATATGGAGACCGAGACGTCAACGTGGTCGGTATTCAGGCACTCAACAGCGAAAATGAGTCCACTCGATTTGATGAGACCCTGAACGGCTACTTCCGCGTGTCTAATGCCGCCAATAAGCGCCTTCGAGTTCACGGGGGTCGTCACGTACCCTCTCAAACAGCAGAGAATAACCCCGACACTTGTCTAAAGCAGCTCAAGCGCATGCTACGCGACGCAGAAGCTACAGTGCAGTCTGAATACATCCACAGACTCCACTTAACTATTCAGCACCAATTCAAGCGCGCTAAGACGTCGTCTATCGTCTTCTGTAGGGTCAGTTTACCAGGATGCAAGCGTGGAATTCCATCAATTATTGACCTTACTTGTGTATTTGCTAAATGCAGGCGGTGGAACTTTGTCGAGAGATATTCAAGCGGTCAGCAGTGTTCCGAGCCCTTATATCAGCACAGACGGCCTCATTCTTTGACCAACTACTCGTGGCTGCAGGGGAAGACCCGCGTGCCAACGTGTCGAGAGCTTTAAGAGCCAGAAATCGTGGCTCGAAGCAGCTAAAGACAGTGTTGGAGCTTATTGAGACGTGGAAGCAGGACTTTGGGAATAAGTATCCATCTCTAGTGGCAGGTTACAGTGTTTTAATTGATAGAGGGTATCAGTTCCCCAATGCGCGTGAGAGGCAGCAGGAACAGCGAGATCGACAAGTGGACATACAACGGCATCGAGAGCGAGTAAATAACGCCAAGAAACAACAACGGGATCGAGAAATGAAGCGGTATGTACCGGAGATGGAGCAAGTGCTGGTCGAGATGAATCGCGTGTTTGAGATTTTGGTACCGACGTTGGATGCCTTCAACGTAGAGGAGGAAGAGAAATCCGCCGAAACTTCAGTTGATGTTAATGTGGCTAAAAGCAAGAAGAACAGTGACGAACGGATTCACGTCATCGATAATGAAGACCACGAAGAGGATGTGGACAATGACATTCAATGGGAGAACGTTACAGGAGTCGATGCAGACGATGAGGACACTGTGGAGTGGGAGAGTGTGGAAGTGGACGATACTAGCGATAACACGGAGGAGGACAATGCAAGTGACGGAGATACCGCTGAAGATCAGATGGATATCAACGAAATTGTGCAGGCGTATGGCCTTGGAAGCTCGTCTTACCAGCTGACCATTGAAGTCTCCAAGCAGGTGTGCGAGGAATCCTCCGATAACGGCGCATTGTTCCGAACCCTGGCTGACGGTACACTGCGCATGCGGAAAAGGTTTCTACCATTATTGGACGACTGGGAACAGCACTCTACGTTAGGAGGACAATGCTCATCCAGATCTTCAGATTTACTGACTCAACGTGAGATTTTACTGCGAATTCGTGACCTCCGAGATCGCATGACGCGTGCACTATTGAAATGGGATGATCTCGTCCAAGACTCGAAAAAAAAAACTTCAGTTCAGCCGGCTGTGGTGTCGTTGCCTCTAGAGTCGTACAACCTACCCACCAAGCGAAGGCGGCGAACGAATCCACAGCCATAGCCCCGAACTGCTATAGGTTCTGGTCGCTCTTCCGCGTTACTTTTTTTCGTTACCCACAGACCAACCGTCATAGCAGTAGCAGCTCCAAAAAAGGTCGAGCCTAGCCAATGATGTTCCTCAACTGTTCACGTAGCAGTTTTTTGTTTTTCAACGCATCAAGAGTTCTTGAAGCTCTGGGTATTGATCATCATCTTCTCCTCGCTACTCATCTTCTTACTTTCCCTGAGACGGCGAACTTATTGATAGAGCCAAAGTGCTGAATACGTGGAGTTGAAAGATTGACCGTGTCGATCAGCGCAGCATTATCG